CTCCCCCATCCCACCGGGGGGGGGTGGAGCATGAGCAAGCAGCTGTGTGATGTTGTTGAAGTTGCCAACTGAGGTTAAACGACAACATTTGGCATTCTGTCTAGCCATACAATTATCCCACACCTAGAAATGTAAAAGCTCTGACAATATTTTTTTTGTGTGGCTGATTTGCTTACCTCTCTTGTCTGCATGACATTTCAGGTATCGAGTATTACAGTTGAGTGCTCATTACCGTCCCCACAGAGGAAGCACTAATTTGGATCCCTCTCCTCTACCTGGCTACTTATTTTCACTAAGCTGGTTAGAATTTAATATCTTAGGCCTCCAAGACATGCCAGTTTCTGCTGAAATAGCCCAACAAGTTCAAAATTTTGAGATCGGGGGGAAAGACAGAGGGACAAATGGAGATGGAAGTGGGATTGAAAAAAACAGGAAACCAGGTTAAAATGTCCTTCCTGAAATTGTTTGAAGAAAAAGTACATCAACAAAAAGCACCATCACAGAGGCAAAATTAGAAAATCCTTATAAATGCAAATATTGTATCTGTTTCAGCTGTACTGCAAGCCTATAAATTTAAAAGCTTTTAATTAAGCCAAATGCTACATTCTTTTTGCCATCCAAAAGTATTATTAGCTCACATTAAAGATGCAAAACTTCATTTTGAAAGAATTTTGCCATCAAATGGGGGGGGGGGGAAGTGTATTTAAAAAAAACCCCAACACTTAATGTATCACAGAGAACTACAACAAAAGCTTAATGGAATAGACCATGACAGTAGAATTCACCTTACCTGATTTTACCTGTCCACAGTTGTGCTTTAGATCTGCAGTCATCAGAGAGAAAACGGCAACTCTACAGCATGAGTCCTACAGTCTACTTAAGAGGCCCACCCTGGTGCGGAGATGCATCTTGCAAAATATTCCATTTCCCTCTGTTAACAGCACAACGAGCTTAAACGTTGTTTTTCCATACTGTAATGTTTAAAGCTAGGTGAGATGAATCTCACCTGAAATATTTTTTCAGGAAAAAGGCATTCCTATTCTTGGTAGTGGATCCAGAACTCTAAAGGGTCTCTCTGACCCCCAAAGGTGACAGATAAATATATCAGCTATATATTCAAAGGACTGAAATTGATTATTTCGAAACTGCTAATCTGCTTTTCCATCAAGTGTGATACTGACCTTCTGTTTCCACGTGGCTTCCTGGGGTGCAGGGGGAAAGGTGCATGGAACTCTTCCATGATTCATGTGATAGGGCAAAGGGAGGCTGGGATCTAGTGGCACCCAGGGGACCGAAAGGGTGGCAGGTACAGTAGGCAGATCACAATGAGCTTTATGTAAGTTATATGATGCTCTCGTTGTCTTGTCAAGAGAACTCTTGTAGATTCCAACGGATGAATCTCCTGCAGCATGAGTCAATAAATAAGAGCCCTCCTGCAAACTAAAAAGATAAAGTTCAAAATGAAAAATATTATTTAAATGTTTTTATTTTGTTTCATTTGATCAGGATAGCTACTAAGTTCTTAATGCAAAAGCAAAACATCTTTAGATATTTACTTATCAGTCCCTGTTTAATAAAAAGACTATAGACAAAACCCACAAATTAAACTGTATTGATAAATACATACTAATTTATGTGTTTATAATGTATTCATAATGTACTAATTTATCATCAATGTAAAGATTGTCATCATATTCAACAAAACATACACTGAAAAACATCCATATTTGGCAGACTAATTCTTTAACCAGCGCCTTACAAAGCATAATGCATATATGGACACAGACACAAGGAACAGACATGCTTTAAATACATGCCGGATTAATCAGGTTTTCAGGAAGATAAATGTCAACCAACTGCCTGTATCAAAAATCTTAGTCGCAAATCACAAAGCTACAGAAATTATCAAGTGCGGGAAAGCTCTTCTGTAATTCGAATTAAGAGGCTTCACACACAGTGCCAGAAACCTGCTCCACATAAAAAATTGAAAGACACTTGCAGACCGAAAGCCTTGAAGTAGCTAAATAAAGAAAGAAAAGGAAGGAGCAAGAGAAAGGTTGCAATATGCTGTTTTAAGTCAAGCTAAGCAGAAGGGAACACAAATAGTATTATTTCTACAGATTAAGCAAAAAGACTAACAAAAAACAGAAGTCCGAATTTTAAATGTAGGCCTACATACATAATATTACAACTGTCTCTTATGAACTCTTTAATCAGCTCAGAAGTCTCCAGTCTCCTCTCTCAAATAAGTGGTTTATAAAAATCAAGTTCTTATTCTTTTGCATCACTTATACAGAACCTGTAATCCTAAGCACATTTTTACACAGTACTGCATTATGCTATGCTACACCTAAAAGAATCTGTAAAATATTTCCTGTATCCGAAGAAATAAAAATCAAAGCGTAGACAAGCGTTCTACAGAAGAACTAGGATGACCTAGGTAATGTTGCAAATAAATACAAGAATGAAGCACTTGTATGAACAAGAATGAGCACTTACTCAGACACTTTCTTCAAAATGTGATGAAGTATATTTAATGAATTTGCAGGCCTGTGAAGAAGAAAAAAATTTACAAAAGTAGTAACTTGCAACGCTTGTTAGGGTTTCCAATTCATTGCTAAAAAACCTACTAAAAATACTCACTTAATCAATCCGAGTTTTTCTCTTAAAATTTCTGGAGAAATCTTTTCTAGCATAATAAGCTTTGATGTAAAAGCATCAATACGTCCTGAAAAATATTAATTCAATTAATACACTAAAAATAAAAGAGAACAAATGCAAAAGCATAATTTGCAGACCTAATGCATTTTAAAAGGAATAAAAAATTTTGCTCTTTCACAGCATAGAACAGTAAGAAGTATCTATCAATGTTGTACAATAACAGAAAGTAAAACGTATACCTGCTTTAAGTACAGACATCTGTATTTGGGCTGTCTTTCTAAATCAGGGAGATGCCCATCATTCCAGCAAATCTTACATCTTGGGTGATGTCTGAGATATCCAACCTCATTTTGCTATGGCCTTAATCTCATCAGTTAGTTTGTATCTTCTCAAGTTCTTTTGATCCTTATCACTAGGCTTCCTCACTGGACAGATCATGAAAGTTTATCTTTTACAAGAAATTTAATATACTTGTTTTTCTATTCTGATACATTATACAAACAATTGTGTTATTTGATTTTCTGGGGATTCTGTACCTTTGTCTCTTGATTTTTTTCTTCCCCTCTCCTGAAAAATTACAATTTACAATTCAGGCCTTGTTCATGGCAAATTGTTAAAGACTATTTGTCCTTGACATAGCTAGGAACAACAATTCAAAGCTCTCCTCATCACCTTTTTAAAGTAAAGGCTGACAAGAACAGTTTAGCCACGTTTTCACTTGATAAGCAATAAAGATCATTAGCATAGCTTGTACACTGATGTGGTGACCGTGCCTTACCTTCAGGTTCTCTCTTATGTTGAGGTTTTCATAGAAATCTGTTCTATTCCAGCTCCCACAAGGAGGATGAGGAGAAGGCAGCAAAATAAAATACGACCTACTCAGTGGAATTTACTGCCTTACTACAAATCTGCTCTCATAGGAAGTGTAAATGCTTCAGTTGTACAGTTAAAACTGCTAAACCAAAGCGTTTCACATTCCAAGCTAAACATTACTAGCAATTTGTTATGTGATATGTAAGACCACCAACTAAGAACGCTCATTTTTAACAAATTTTTAAAAAATGCACCAGGACAACTGATTTCTTTTAAACACTGTACATTTGTTACTTTTCTTGATATCAGTATTTTGTGCAAGACTAAGCAGCTAGATTTAATATTCTGCATTGCTGACTAGAGGAAAAGAAACTCGAAGTCATTATAAACACAGATTTTTTTTTTTCCTCCATTCCTTATCAGCCTCTCCTCAAATCAGAAATTTCTCCATTTCTAAACTCATCGACAGCACAGCTGAGAAAGAAATATCTATGAACTACTCGTACCTAATTTATATTACTGTATCTTATATTTGAGAAGTGACTGATTGAAAACACTTGACATTCAGTAAGTTAGCCATACAGTAAGTACTTCTTTCCAACCCATTTTCCAAATAATCTTTATTTAAAGGCCAATATTATCCTATTCAAGTGAAGGTAAACTATTCTTTTTGTAGTATGTTTTCTTTAGGCACTTAATGCAAATAAGTGAATAATGGTCGGGGTAAAATGTTCCTATTAATCAGCACAGCTTATCACAACTTTATTTACTGCTTTGATCAAGTACAAGTATCTTATTTTGGAAACACGTCACAGAGATTACTCCCTTTGCAGATGCAGGATTTCCTATCTGAGTAGCAAGAGGACTTAAATCAACAACCAAGCAAGGTGCTCTACTAGCAAGAGGAGGACAGCACTCAAGTTTGTTTGATGATATCCCTGCTTTTGCGCAAACAATCACTACCTTCTTTGACAACATACAAAATAAAAAATTCAACTTAATATCACACCTTGCAATTTCTTCAGGAGGCCATAGCTACACTTCTGTTTTCTTTCTCACCTCCTGAGATGGCAGCACTGCTGAGTCACTGCACCGAGCTACGAGATTCCTCCCTCAGCCACACAGAGCGATACAACACTTAAAAGCAATGCTGGACAATTATGGGGCACAGACCAAGGTCCAAAGAACTTTCCATCCATACTTATTTGGCAATACAAAAGATTGTTGAGACAGTTTTTTCAAGACCCAAGAACTCCTAAGCAATTGAACACTGAGGTCTGCTCATGCTCAAAACTTCGACTTCAGAGGCTTCACTTTAGATCTATACAGTCTCAGGACTATCTGAACAGGAATGCAAGTTGTAGGTACTGTGTTAGTAATCACAGTTTTCAAACAGTAGTTCCATACTTCCACACTCATACTGTGGGGTAAGTTTAAAAAGAGCAATAAGTCTATGGCTCTACTATGGTTGATTTAAAAATTCCTTTATTATAAGACATGATATTTCACTTAAAATAATTCAAATTATAGCATGATCTGAGAAGTCAAGTCTGTCTTTCTGCTTATACCAAATACATGATAGCAGTAGTCTTCTTACTTTCAGGTATCAGATTAATGAAAAAGAATGAGACATTCACCCCGTTTTAAGTTGTCTGTAATACAGGGATATTGTCACCCTTAGAGAATTGTCCCTGAAGTTTCAGGACAAAGCTTTCTGTCACAAAGAGCCATCTAACTAAATCAGGACATTTGCAACATTGTATTTTTCACAGCTCCCCAAAAATACAAAATGAAAGGCAGAATTTCACAGCTACGTTCCAATATTTCTCAACGAGAGCAAAAAGAATCCTTAAGTAGAATACGATAACAGTTTCCTATTAAAAGCTGCAGTAGATGCTCTTTCATAAAACGGATCATTTACTTCCACATATGTCTTCTTACCTACCTCTATTAGAAAGTACATGGCGGTACCAAAAATCTGCAGTCCCCAATTTGCCTACCTGAATAAATCACATATTCTGTCAGTATCAAAAGTTGGTGACATGCTGACAGTCCAACTCCGTATTTGTAGCAGACTACTACTTTTTTTTTTTTTTTTTTTAAAGTGGTGGGAGGGGACCTGCCCCACATGCCCGGAGTACTAATTTACTGTGCAGGACAGTGACAACCCATACAGTAATCCTGTGCTTCCTCGGAGCACGCAAAAAGAGAACCCCTGTGGACCCCAGGGTTTGCTGCTGGAAGAAGCACATCCAAGAGCTGACAAAACAAACACCACTGGAATAATCAGTGTTTCTCAATGCCAACGACTTTTTCTCCCAAGCAAGTGAAGAGAGACAGCATGTCGCAGGCCAGGCCGCTGAAGCCTGCCAGCCGAGGGCTCCGTGCCTGTCTCGCGGCCAGCAGGTATCTACGAAGGAGACACTGAGGAACCTCTGTATCAGAAGGGGATGGCTGTTTATGCCAGAACAACTCCTGCAGCGTGCAGCCTGCTTTCTCCTACACTCCTGAGAGCCTCTATAAAAAGGGGTGTTGGCTGGATGAGCTGCCTGCAAACTTCTGCGCACAAGTCATACCGTAACTGATGGGAGATTAGATAGACTTGCATTCTTTCAGTTTGTGTACTTTGTAAGCAGATTAGCCCTCTCTCTACAGCTTCACTATTTCCTCACACTGCTTGTGACTCTGGAAACGTTAATAAAGATGTTGATAAAATTTCCTACAGGGGGTTAAATTTCAGTGCAATTCAATATACAATTCAATTCAATATACTGCTTGTTTAAAAAAAAAAAGATAAGAAATGCTTCAGGACTGTACTTTAAGATATAATTAGAAATGGAGAACTGTGTACGTAATTATCTTTGTGAGGATATTTTTTTAGAGAAGGGAAAAAATACAGCAAATATTGCTTTTAAAATTTAAAATTAGAAATATAGTTTCCATTAACTATGGACAGCAGACAAAGATAGCTGTAATCAGCGAAACTATCACCTCAAATATACTAAATTTCACATAAACCTTATAATTCTATGATAGGATGCAAAGTTTGTATGTAAAAATTAGGAAAGAGAGAACTCAGCATTTCTAAGACAGTATTCTGATGTGAGCCACCAACAGCAAAAGTGTAATTCAGTGCACAAGTGGAAAGGTTAGGCAACCACAGGCCACAACCGCTGCCATAACAACCATAAAAAACAGAGAATCTTTTCTACAACAGGAAAGCGAGGCAGTTCCCACTGCAGAACATTCATTCACTGTACAAATGGGATCACCTTCACTCCGTAGCAAGTGCCAAACATATTCCAAAATGCATGTTGACTAACCACTTTTAAAAAATTATTAATTACGGGATAATTGGTATCAGAGAGCTCTCCATATACTAAAAGGGTTGTTAAAATAATTTTTTATATGCATCATTTTCATTTCTCTACAGAACATATGTATCCTAATAGACATAAACTTTCCTAACATTTAAAATGTCATTGTACAAACATGAATACAGCATTTTCTACAGGACATTTGTTAGTGAAACTTTCCGTAGAACGCTGCATTCCTACTGTGCTTGGTTTATGTGATTTTTGGATAAGTGGCCTTTACAAGTAAGATAGGCTTCTGCTAACATTTCCATGCTTTTTATCCCTGCTTTATTGCGTTTTTATTTTCCGTGCTCTGAATTACAGCTGTCATCTCTTCTACACGAGATTTGTAGTTTCCTGCTTCATTCTCACTGAATGTATGTTATTTCTCATTCATAGATGAAACATCCCTTTGACAGGGATGTTTCAAGTCGTATCACATATCAGGAAATTAAATTTCATGGATCAGTTAGAGACGGACAACTGAAAACCTGGAAAATGTGTTTGTTTTAAGTAAGATCATCCAGTGTTCAGACTCCTGAGGAATATCATAGCTATGGAAAGAAGTTTTCAACAAACTTATGCTAAGTATTTTTCTTCTTCCTGTTAAGAATTTCATTTCTGCAAAGCCAGAAAATTATTTCCAGGACCTTAGATATGAGACACATGTACATTGTTTTCAGAGCATGCAATTTCTCTTATTTCTGAACGACAGAACTTGGTTTAGCCCTGTCTTGCTTGTTTTTCCTCATTCTCTTGTATCTTATCTGTCTACATGTCATCAGTGTAGAAATACAAACATTATTGCTTGTTTTCAAAGAAAAATAAGTAACATTTGACCTTTTCTTATACTGCAAGCTCAAAGGCCAAAGAATCAGTATGCTCTGAGCCACATATCTGACCCTCTGTTCGTCTTCTATTTTGTTATGTAATAACAAATTTATTTAAAATTATTTCACAAAATGATAAGGTATATTTATAGCTCATATTTCATCAAGAAATATTTTTATCACCTCTGCGATAAAATAATTCATGTTCCATATGACTCACTAAAAAAACCCAAACAAAAAGCAACCAACAAACAAAAAACCCCAAAACCAAAGATACTTTAAGTCATGAAGATTACTAACTTCAGAGAACTAAATTCACGCTTACAGACACATTTGTCTTTGAAAGGCAAATAAATGCAGTTCTTGAAAACAGAGATTACTGGATGCTATTCACCTAAAACCAAAGTTGAAATATCCTCGTTCATCACCCAACAGAAATTTTAGACACAGCGCTTATTTAAGATAAAAGTGAAAACCAAAGTTAGAAAGTTAAAATAAATAAGGACATATGGAATATACATTTGATAAGTATTTTTCTCTTCTGTTATTGTATGAATATTCAGACAGATCTGTTTCTTAAGCAAAAATCAACACATGAACTTACCAATATAAAACAAGCATTCAGAATGCAACATACTCTCTGTCCACAACTGACATACTTCACTTTCTGTAAGAGCTTCAACACCGTAATAGGCTTGGTATTCTAGTTTTGGCAACAGGAATATTGGAGTAAGCTATAAAAGTGAAGATACAAGAAAAATCAGCACTTGCTGTCCAAAAAATGTCCACAACTGAACTACATTTTGTAGCTGATAATCATCATAGTCTTCCACTACAGCTGAAGCAACAAAGACATTTCACAGATTTGGTGTGATGGCTCACATTCTATGAAACCCACAGTACAAACTTCGGACTACGGAGACTCTACATAGAGGAAGGTGAAATGGACAAAAAAAAAAGCAGCCTAGGCAAGTTTTTACAAATAATAAAGCTTTGCCACTAAGTAATTTTTCCATGCAACTAAATTAATTTGAAGTTCACACTTCTGTGCTCTACTGCCCTCTGCAGGAATTTAAGAAAAAATACATTATTATATTTCTGATTTGCTTATTATCAGTGGAATCCTGCCATTTATTCCCCTTGTCAGAATCTTGCTTGAAATTAGAACCTAATGCTTGGATTCTCATTTGAAATCAGAGGCTAACCGTTGCACGTTAACACTAACAGAGAAAATATAAGCATCTTCTC